CGGTATCCCACCATCACGGATGGCACAGGAGCGTGGGTTTTCCCATATATTTTGGTGAACAGATGGTTTTTCCCTATGGAAAGCTGGAAGGGACTGAGCCAACTGACCACACAGGACACGAGTGTGGCAGGGGGCAACCCACACGTGGGACCCTTCCCCACAGGCAGCTCCGCTCTCCCTCACCCCCTGATGCTGGTCGGCCTCCCTGTATCACTCCCGGCCCTGGGAAGGGTTGCCCGGCTTGTCCAAACCCCTGCCTCAGCTCTATTTTTAGCCTTTCATCCTTATTTAGCAGCGAGACCAGCCGGGAGCGTGCAGGCAGGGCGCGGGAGCAGGCAGGGGCCATGACGGATGCTGCTGCCCACCCCGCGCCGGCAGCGACAACTGCGTCGCTGATCCGCTGCGGAGGCTTAAGGGTGAGGAATAAATAGCCCTGTTCCTCCCACCCGGGAGTGGGGAGGAAAGTTATCCCCTGGGATTAGTTTTCACTTTGAGGCCCTGGAGCAGCCGGGGGACGGGGATGGGGACAGGGATGCGTGGGGAGAGGCGTGGGCATGGCCGGAGCATCGTGTTTGGGGCCAGGAGGGGAGCACAGCACCTCACCTCAAGCCCCCGGCGCCACGTGCTTTCCTGCTTCTCACAACCAGTGTGGGTGAAGGATTCACTCCCGCATTCCCACCCTTCCCCCCTCCATTTTGCCATGGGGAAAAAGAGAGAATAAAGGACTGTAAGGACAGGTTAACCCACATCTTTTTGCTTGGAAAAACACAGGCAGGGGCAGAAATGACTTGAAATCGCTGCTCTACCTCAAGACAGAAGCATGCATGACCTAGATCCCCACCAAAGGACTCTGTGACCTTTTCTTGGGCTCCAACACATGCAAGATCCTCTGCAGTTCAAACAGTTTTCTGAGCTATCTCACCCATGCAAAGCCCGAATCACGAGGTCTCAGCAGGTCTGACTAAACAGCCTTGATTTGCATTGAAGAAGAGCAGCCAGCACAGATGGGTGACAACGTTAATGACTTCATTAGGTCTCATTTACAAAAGCAAACAGATTGCAAAAATTATGCACTGGGCCGAAGGGTGCAACCACAGACCACCCTCTCTCTACCGCCCGTGACACCAGCTTTGCCGGGACCCGCTGGGCATCGCCACGGGCCAGCTCATCGCCCAAAAGCCTTCCAGCAAAATCTTCTCTCCCTTTTTCTTTTCCAGACTGGGTTTCTGTAAAAAAAAAAGAAACAAAAAAAATGAATGACCCCATCTGCGCTCACGGGACCACCCTGCACACAGACCATGCAGGGCCAGATCCCAGATGGAAATCCCATGCGCTGGCACCGACACCGCCCTGTATCCACCCCGTCCTGCCCAGTCCTTACCAGCTGGAACTGGAGAGAGAGCCAAGACACTTTAACCGCTTGCATAAATACTTCTCTTATCCATAAGCTTTGGCAAACACTTTAAATGACCATTGGTACAAATTAACTTGACATTCAGCCAGCTGTTATCCCATTTACGGCAATTCAGCTGAGCGTGAGATAAACGCTCCTAGGCTCGCTTTTCCAGGCAAAACCCTTGAGACTTCTCCAGCCGCTGTCATTCCTGGGGAGAGATCGCGATAACACTGAAAAAGACATCGGGGAAAACTTCAAAACAAGCCGAAGCTGCCCCAGGTGGGTCTGCCACACGCCGCCTCCGCTTTCCTGTCTTTGCACAGGCAGAAATCCCCTTGCTGCCGCAGTCCCTGTCATCTCCAGCCCTTGGCGAGTGGCCTCCGGCAGCCCCAGCCCCGCGTGCTCCCCGGGTCCCCAGGCTCCCCTGGTTAGGGAGAGGGGGATGAGTTGTTGCAGCCGTGAAACCCACTCCTACAATGCCATGGAAAGCCCCTGTTTTGCTCAAAACCGGCTGGACAGAAAAGTTGCTGGCTGTTTAAGTGCTGCCCTGGAAAGAGAACAAATTATCAGTGTATTGGGGCAGAGGAAGATGAAGCAGGGCTGAGATGGGAGATCTCTCCAGCAGGGACACGTCCCGTGCAGCCCACACAGGAAAGATTGGAGAAACTGAGAAATTGCTAAAATCAAGCTAAAATAAGAGACCTTTGGGGCAGCACAGGCAGGGCCTCTGGCAGGCAGCCTCACAGATGCGCCGGTGGGCTGAAGGAAGGATGTAACGTGATCTGGTGCGGCCTCTCTCTGAAAGTCAGTGATTTATAGAAGTGCAGGGTTGTAGCTACCATGGCGAGCACCGCACGCCAGAGCCCGCGGCAGCAGCGCGGGGTGCAGGGCTGGGGACCAGGGCCGGCTGGAGCGGGCCTCACTGCACATCCCCATCCCCAAACCCCAGCTCTGCCTTGCTGGCTTGATGCCTCAGCCTGATGTGACCAAATCCTCTGGTTTTTCTCCACCATTAGCAAGAGAAACCCTACCCAGAGCCCCGCTTTGTGGCACAGGGGCATCCCAGTGCACCCCCAGTAACACCAGAAATTATCACAAGCACATGTGCAAACTGCTGGAGCTTCATGCACCAGCAAGACGTGATGGCAGCTGGACAGGCTCCTCATCAGCTGCCCACACAGCTGCTTCTGTTCCCAGCCACGGCCCCAGCGATGCAAATTCAGCCTGGAAATATGCATGTGTGTTTGTGCTTGCCCCCGTATGCCTTCAGCCTCCAAAGTCTGGACCAGGATTTTTAATTAACCCTGGGGAGGTGGAAACCAGCACCTCGCACTGACAGAGCTTTTTATCCCTCAAACGATCTACTCAGCCCAAATAAGTACTCTCAGGCGGGGAAGGAGACTTGCCCTGTGTATGAAGTGCTGGGGAGATAAGAACAGAGACGCCCTCAGTGGTTTCTGAGTGGTGGGAGCTGATGCCAGGAAGCTGCTGTGTCTCACCAAACTTCACCCAGGTTAAGCAGCACCTACCCAAGAGGATGCAGGCAACTGGTGCCACCAGTCCCCGGGAGACTCGGGGCAGCCATGGGCTTGCCCCTCACCTTCCCCACCCTCCTATCCAAGTGGTGTTTCACAATTTCCCCGGTCCCAGGGTTACCAGGGCAGAAAAAACACCTCCAAGTCATACGTCATGTGGCGACCATGCACCTCCACTCCCTCACTGGCCGGGCAGGTGGTGCCGGACCGGCGGCGAAACGCCAGCGTGCTGGCAGCCCCTGAGCCGCGGGCTGCTTGGACTTCTCCCAGGGGATATTTGGAAAATGTTAGAATAGAAACTTGTTGACAAAAACTGGCAGTGTTTCCATACGGGCACAGCCTCGTGACCAGGTTGAAACACTCCTATTTCAGCAGTGCTGGGTGGCAACAGTTGATTTTTCAGGTCAGAATGTGTGTTCATTCAGAAACATCTATTATTTTACAACATTTAAAAAAATCATCAAAACCAAAACATTTGGAGGAACCTGCCTTTCCTCCCATTAATTTTCAGACAGAACACTTTCAAATCCATGTGTTTCCCTACCTCTTTGGGACTCGTTTCCAAAGTTCAGGATTTCCTCCTGGAAAAGGACACCCTGGCTCCAGGCCCAGCATTTGGGTTGTTTGGGATGCTCCAGAGCAGGGTTGCCAGGATGCAGTCCCCCACGCAGTATAGACCACAGCGAAAGCCCCCTCCAGCCAGCACAGCTACCCCCAGATCAGAGCTCCTGCCAGAAAAAAACACCCCAAAACCACCACCTTTACACAACTACCCCAGCACGAGCTGAAACTTCATGGGGTGAAGGCAATAGCCACGATGGATCCTGCCTTTGCCCCTGACAACCCTTCTCCCAGGGGGCTGGGGTGGGTTCCAGCCGGGCAAGCCCCCCGAGCCAGCCCTGCTCCGGCGGGACCCCACCCCCGGTGCAGGGGTCCTGCTCCACCCACTCAATTTGGAGCACCCCCTGTGCGGGGGTCCTGCTCCCCTTTCCCCCCACCCAGCAGCATCCCCGGTGCAGGGGACCCCAGGGATAGAGCGTTCCCGGGGCAGGCGGTCCCACTACCCTGCTTGGCACGAAGCATCCCGAGCCCAGGGCGGGGACACCCCAGGGTGGAGGGGCCCCAGGGCCGGAGCACCCCCGCCGGGCGCCCAGGCCGGGGGCGGGCAGGCTGCGGGCTGCG